CATTTCGAAATTCAATTTATCTTTACAACATTTCTAAAGCAATCTGTATAGGGTCGCATATCGAAATTAACCTCAACTTGACATTTTTCCTAACCCAAAGTGAAAATATTTAACATAAAAAAAGATTATCTTATGTGTTTGTTATAAGATGTGTTTGTATCACTATCCCATTCCTACGTATGTATATAGATTTTAGCGATAAATCGCTGACTTTTTAGAATAATATAAAAAATCTGAAAAATTTTGCTATTTGTTTTCAGAATCATATAATAAATATTATTTTGACGATTTATCGCAAAATTTTTCAAAATGTCTTGAATTTAGCTATTTTCTAGCTATTTTTCAGTCGACTTTAGCGATATTTTTGGGAAAAAAGTTGGCAACAGTGTTCCCAATACACACAATTTTTTACCGTTAGATTTCTTTCTGCAATTCATTGCAAAAAAATAAGTTTGTCACAATCTATGATGCACGCGACAAACCTTAAAAGAATACTTTTTACAAACCCTTTTATAATTCGCTTGTCGCTCACGGCTACACAATTGATCAATGAGTCGTTGACAAGAGAATATAAAAAGCATGCACATTAGGGTGCCCATAAGAAAAGTTTATAATGTTCACAACGAAAATGTAGGCTTAGTTAAATCTGGGAGTACAATTTAAGAATGTTTGTCTCAATAACATAGGTACATAAAGGAAAAATTAGTGTTAGCCCAATAGTATTCAAAAAATATGAATTTTTAAGAAAAGGAAATTAAGTTTTTAAAAGCTTTGCAACGTCTTTTTTATTTATGTAATTAGTTTAAATTAATGCATTATAAACGCAAAACAAAAATTTTGCAGCAAAAATAAAAATTTATAATTTTTTGTTGACTTATAAGCACATTTCTCATACCTCAGTTAAAGCCCTATCATATAATATCAAAATTGTATACGATATCTTTAATAACCAATCACAAAAACATCTAAACATTTTCATCCTTTGATCAGACAGCGATATTTTAAAAAAGTACTCTGATTATTTAATTCGTTATATTTAGCCACTATTATTTTGGAGCCCCCTAATTCACATGTATTTTTGTCATTTCATTTTTTTGGAAACAACTTGATCATGTACACAGTGTGCAATAAAAATGATTCTTCAAAAATAAATTTAATGCTTTTTATTTATTATAGTAAGGAATAATATTAACGTTAAATTTATCTTTGACATTGATATTATGTTAAATAATTAAATTACATACATATGTACCTACTATGTATATGCATTCAATAATTATGTACATATGTATGTTGCATGATAAAGAAATCGTAGTGAAATATAAGCTTTTCAGTTGTACGAACTCAACCTTTCCACAGTGTACACTATTTGTGTATAATTTTTCTAGAATACTCTTAAAAATTTTACAGTTACAATAGGTTGCAAAACATTCCAAAGAACTAGCTGCCCACAATTAATGATGATATTCTTTAATAAGTCGCACTTTGCTTACAGCTATAATTGTAAACACACATAAGCGTCAGCAACAAATAAAAATACACATTCTTCTTTACTGAGAGAATCCCTGACGTAGATAAAAAAGCAATGAGAGCATTATGTGTATTTCAAAACCCACCCTTATTTCTTGTATTATTCCAAGCACATATATACAAGTGTATGACAGCGTGCAACTGATCATTCGTTATAGTCTTAATTTTTTCCTCGCTAACTATCAAAGTCGATATAAAAAAAATTGACAACAAGCTGATTGTTCTCTGATGGTGGCCTCTTGTTTAATACACTTTGTATTATTCCATGCTCATGTGCTCTCTTCCTAAATCATGAATACAGTGTGCAATGTACACATTCATTCATTGATTAATGTAAACAATTTTATTTATTTTCTGAAATAAGTATTATTACATTTTTAACTTTAATTATTTGTAACTTTCAACAAAAAATACTAATTCTAATTTTAATTTAATAATATTTTACGGCATGAAAGCATTAAATTTATTAAAATACATTCACATGTATATACATAAGTTGTATGAATACATCTATCACACACTTTTTCTTGATTTCTTTTCTTATATTTTTTTACATGATTATGGTGCGGTGTTGTGTATTATATATTTATATTTAAAAAAAACGCAAAAAGTAAAGCGCGATCATTATTTCATAGGAAAAAGCATTAAATTGAATGAACTAAAAAGCGTTTATTATAATTGTTAAAGTTGTCATTAGTGTTTGGAAGAAAATTAAAACCAAACAAAAATAATATTTAAAACAATAAAAAGTATTTATTAAAAGCAAAATTAATTTCAAACATGCGTTTGTTTGACTTTTTTTTGGCAATAATTTTTTCTGTGTATGGGGGCTTGGATCAACAATAACCCTCCAATTCGAAGTCCTTAAATTATGATACTCAATCTATGAAGAAGATCTTATACAGGCTCTACTATCTTGATAAATTGTGAGGTTTAAGGAAAAGAAAGAAAATTTAATCTGAAATTTTCATTAAAAATTTGTTATTTGTTTTGATAACTATTGCTCCAAAAACACAAACGTAACAGTGGTGTAGGGTATGATATCATGTGTACATATACATGTATGTATGCATGCTCTATAAACTTGTGTATGTATATTTATTTAATAATGAAATTAATTTATACACATGTATGTAGCTCATGCCTGTTAATGCAAATTTAAGGATACAAAAGACATTTCTACTATGTACTTTAACATATTGTCTGTACTAAACATTTTTTGTCTTAGAACCTCAATCTTAATTAAATAATTCTATGTTTCTTTAATGGCATACAAAATTATTTACATTTATATATGAATATTTAAACATTTATTTTGAACATAATCTTCAACTTATGTACACTTTCAACAATTCATACTTATACCATACATACATACATATGTATGTATGTATGTATGTATGTGTATTAGATATTGCCCCAAAGACTTTGAGGGAGACAATAAGGACTAAAGATCTTTTAACGTCAAATGCTAATGCAATATAGACCTAAATTGTATAAGAATATTAAATTATTTATAAAAAAAAAAAAAAAAAAAAAAACATTAAGCTGACTTTAAGTATACTTCAATTGTCAAATATTATTTTGAAAATATGTATGTGTAATTCAATTACAATTCTTTTTGCCATAAATGCAGAGAAATAGATAAATTTTCTTAGGGGAAATATTTGAAACAATATAAAATTAAATGTTTCTTCTTATTTTTGTATGAATAGTTGTTGTTGTTGTTGTAATATGCTTAATATTATTTTTGGTAAAATAATCTTCTACGAAATGTTAGAAGTTATTTTATTTTTATGAATATAAAATTAAATTTTAGGTTTACATTTTTATTAAATAACAACTTAAAAGAATTGTTTCTGTAAATAATAAATAAAAGGGAGTTTTTTCTTGACGTTAATATAACGCTCAAAAAAAAAAAAGACTAGTACATAGACTACTATATAGACTAACCCATTAGTCAATAGACTAATCTTTGGAATCATCCATAATTAATAGACTAGTCTATACTGAAGCCAATAGATTTATTCATAGACTAGTCCGTATACCAGACAAGTCTATTTACCTTGTCCATAGATTATACAGTAGTATAGTCCATAACTAGTCGATTAACCAGAAAATGTTGTGTAATTCAATACTAAATTTTTCTTCTCTCTATAGACTTGTCATAGGACAAGTCCAAAGACTAGGCACTAGACCAATCCATAGATTTGTCCATAGACTAATCCATACACTAGTTCATAGACTAATTCATTCAGTAGTCTATAGATAAGTCAATAGAGCAGTCAATAAACTAATCCATAGAGTATCCCATAGACAAATCAATAGATTAGTTCGTAAACTAATCAATAAACTAATCCATAGACTAGTCAGTAGACTAATGCATAAAGTAGTCCATAGACATGTCGATAGACTAATACATAGACTATTTCATAGATTAGTCCATAGGCTTGTTACTAGACTAGTTCAGAGAATAAGTCATAGACGATTTCATAGACTAGTTCATATAGTAGTCCATAGAAATAGACAAATCAATAGATCCGTAGAATAGTCAATAGACTAATCCGTAGAATAGTTAATAGACTAATCCATAGACTAGTCAATAGACTAATTCATAGACCAGTCCATTGTCATGTCAATAGACGAGTTCATAGATTGCTTAGTCCATAGTCTAGTCACTAAACTAGTTTATAGAGCTGACTAGAGACTAACTCATAGGCTATTCCACAGACTAGCTCATAATTAGTCTATTGACTAAAAAAAGTTGGTGTTATTCAAAGTTCAAATATTCTACTCTCTATAAACTAATCCATGGAGTAGTCTGTAAGATAGTCAATAGACTAATCCATAGAATAGTTCATAAACTAGTCCATAGAGTAGTCCGTAAACTAGTTATTAGACTGGTCCACTGAGCAGCCAATGGACTGATTCAAAGTGTAGTCTATAAACAAATCAATAGACTTATTCATAGATTATACATACTATTTCAAACTTAAAATTTTCAATGTCTGCTGAGAATACATTTTCGAAGATATTAATGATTTTTGGCGATTAAATTAAAACATCTGGTTTTTTTGGAATTCAATAATTATTATAGTTATTTTCATTCTCTTCTAAATTTAAACAAAATCTCAAGTGGTCACGCAAATATGAATGTTTTTTTGATGTCAATGAGAAATGAATGTGAATGTCAAATCTATTAAAATCTTAGAGATAAATTTTTTGAACAAATTTTTCAAAAGTCCTTCTTGTTTTCTAAGTAAACTTATTTATAAATATTTTATTTAAACTTTTCAAAAACAACGAAAACATTTAAATTGTTAAAAAAATACTTTTCTCTTAAAGTGACCTTTTTTTAAGTACAAACATAAATAGAGAGTAAAAATCTTATCCATTAAATTATCTAAAATTTACAAAGGATTCACAGTTTAAATGTTGAAAAAATAAATTTAAAACAAACTTTTACTTACGTTTTGTTGCTTCTTTTACTTGTGCTGGTTGTGGCTGGTTTTCCAAGTATTCAACTCCCACTATAAAAATAGCAAAAACTGTAGCAGCAGCACTAGCAAGAAAACTACGATATCCAAAGGATTAAAATAAAATAGACAGCACACGCGTTTTGTTGAAAATAGCTGCTTGTCTCCGTTTTCTTGTTGAAAAGTTAAAATCAAAAGGATGCTACTGTTTGCTGATACAAAAAAAAAGTTTCTTTCGTTGGAATATCTAAACAAAACAAATACTCGCTCACATTTATCCCCAACAAAAGAAAATTGTTACAACAGAAATTAGACACACACACACACAGCTATATACCCAACAAGAGTGTGCCAATGATACGGCCTAGTTTAGATACGAAATAGTTTTTTTTCTTTTTCTACGAGTTTTGTTGCTGTTGTTTATTTCTGCTGTTGCTTGTTATTATTGCTGTTGTAGTTGTTGCTATTATATTCTGTAAATAGGGTATTGTACTGCATTTTATTATTACAGTTTACTATATGCCTGTATACTACATTTGTTAGAGCTTTAAAAGAATGAATTCTTTGTTATTTTTATTTCTAGAAATTTGTAAATTTCGGTTATGGTTGAATGTAAGCAAATTGCTAATTGTCGTGATTTAGTCTAGTCTATAGTCTAGTCTATAGTCTAGTCTATAGTCTAGTCTATAGTCTAGTCTATAGTCTAGTCTATAGTCTAGTCTATAGTCTAGTCTATAGTCTAGTCTATAGTCTAGTCTATAGTCTAGTCTATAGTCTAGTCTATAGTCTAGTCTATAGTCTAGTCTATAGTCTAGTCTATAGTCTAGTCTATAGTCTAGTCTATAGTCTAGTCTATAGTCTAGTCTATAGTCTAGTCTATAGTCTAGTCTATAGTCTAGTCTATAGTCTAGTCTATAGTCTAGTCTATAGTCTAGTCTATAGTCTAGTCTATAGTCTAGTCTATAGTCTAGTCTATAGTCTAGTCTATAGTCTAGTCTATAGTCTAGTCTATAGTCTAGTCTATAGTCTAGTCTATAGTCTAGTCTATAGTCTAGTCTATAGTCTAGTCTATAGTCTAGTCTATAGTCTAGTCTATAGTCTAGTCTATAGTCTAGTCTATAGTCTAGTCTATAGTCTAGTCTATAGTCTAGTCTATAGTCTAGTCTATAGTCTAGTCTATAGTCTAGTCTAGTCTATAGTCTATAGTCTAGTCTATAGTCTAGTCTATAGTCTAGTCTATAGTCTAGTCTATAGTCTAGTCTATAGTCTAGTCTATAGTCTAGTCTATAGTCTAGTCTATAGTCTAGTCTATAGTCTAGTCTATAGTCTAGTCTATAGTCTAGTCTATAGTCTAGTCTATAGTCTAGTCTATAGTCTAGTCTATAGTCTAGTCTATAGTCTAGTCTATAGTCTAGTCTATAGTCTAGTCTATAGTCTAGTCTATAGTCTAGTCTATAGTCTAGTCTATAGTCTAGTCTTAGTCTAGTCTATAGTCTAGTCTATAGTCTAGTCTATAGTCTAGTCTATAGTCTAGTCTATAGTCTAGTCTATAGTCTAGTCTAGTCTATAGTCTAGTCTATAGTCTAGTCTATAGTCTAGTCTATAGTCTAGTCTATAGTCTAGTCTATAGTCTAGTCTATAGTCTAGTCTATAGTCTAGTCTATAGTCTAGTCTATAGTCTAGTCTATAGTCTAGTCTATAGTCTAGTCTATAGTCTAGTCTATAGTCTAGTCTATAGTCTAGTCTATAGTCTAGTCTATAGTCTAGTCTATAGTCTAGTCTATAGTCTAGTCTATAGTCTAGTCTATAGTCTAGTCTATAGTCTAGTCTATAGTCTAGTCTATAGTCTAGTCTAGTCTAGTCTATAGTCTAGTCTATAGTCTAGTCTATAGTCTAGTCTATAGTCTAGTCTATAGTCTAGTCTATAGTCTAGTCTAGTCTAGTCTATAGTCTAGTCTATAGTCTAGTCTATAGTCTAGTCTATAGTCTAGTCTATAGTCTAGTCTATAGTCTAGTCTATAGTCTAGTCTATAGTCTAGTCTATAGTCTAGTCTATAGTCTATAGTAGTCTATAGTCTAGTCTATAGTCTAGTCTATAGTCTAGTCTATAGTCTAGTCTATAGTCTAGTCTATAGTCTAGTCCTATAGTCTAGAGTCTATTCTATAGTCTAGTCTATAGTCTAGTCCTATAGTCTAGTCTATAGTCTAGTCTATAGTCTAGTCTATAGTCTAGTCTATAGTCTAGTCTATAGTCTAGTCTATAGTCTATAGTTTTTTAGGGGGCTAGGGTCAAGTGAGGCCCGATTATTACAGAAATCAGGAGTTAAACAGCTAAAATTCACTTACACAATAGCATTTTAAAGTCATTATTTTAACACGTGATGTCATTGGAGGCAAGTACTTACCACAAACGATTACAAGTAATTAGTGGCCTCCGGTAGGTTAGTGGTTAGTGTTCTAGTCTGGTAGACCGGAGGTGGTGGGTTCGATTCCCACTGAGGCACTGGTTAAGGAGCGCGCAACAGCCCGATAGAGGCCTGGGTGTATTTCTTCGGATTTGATGTATATACATCCGCCGTTCAAACTAACTAACTCCACTAACCTAACTAACTAACTAACTAACTAACTAACTAACTAACTAACTAACTAACTAACTAACTAACTAACTAACTAACTAACTAACTAACTAACTAACTAACTAACTAACTAACTAACTAACTAACTAACTAACTAACTAACTACTAACTAACTAACTAACTAACTAACTAACTAACTAACTAACTAACTAACTAACTAACTAACTAACTAACTAACTAACTAACTAACTAACTAACTAACTAACTAACTAACTAACTAACTAACTAACTAACTAACTAACTAACTAACTAACTAACTAACTAACTAACTAACTAACTAACTAACTAACTAACTAACTTATTAGACTACTTCTATGTAATCCAGACAATATGTAGTAGTCATTGAAAAGTATGTTGTTAGGCAAGTAATTACATTTGAAAGCCATTACATAGTTTTTGCTGGGTAGCTATGAGCTAATAAGTCCAAATCGAAACGTCCGATTGTATGGGGTCCAGGCGAAATAATGAACGGATTTTAACCATTTCCTTCAGGCCGAAAAACATATACATATGTACGGATGGACGGACATGGCCTCATGGACCTAGCAAGTCATTCTGAGTCGATATATGAGTGTAGGATCAATATTTTTGCTCTTTAAAAACTGCAACATAAACGGTGTAGGGTATATTTGCAACATTATGTGCAAAATTTTGATCAAAACGATTAAACCGATGAAATATTTTGAACAAAAAAATATGGAACTATTAGTTAGTTGTTAGTTCGTCCACCTCCCAATTTTATTCATAAATTATGAAATACAGTTGAATTTCGAGACCCCCCAAAAAACAAAGAATTCATTCCTTTAAATATGTATATAAAAATTTGCTGGCAGATACGTACATTATTTTGCTGTAACAAATTCCAACTAAGAGTTAAATGACTCTCATTTTTAGTTTTTTTAAGGTGTCAGGATTTTTTTTCGATATATTTGTTATATAGTATTCAAGACAAATTTTTTTGGTTTGGTTTTTTTGTTATTAAATGGCAGTGGTTTGAAATTTAACCTGTTTTTGTCCTTTGCAAGAGGATTTGAAGAAAGTGAAAAACACAACAACAAAAAATGAAAAGAAAAACTTAGATTTTTTGATAGTGGGTTTAATATTTTCCTGGTTAATTCATTTTCATCGTTTCCTTGGGGGCTTTTCGGCTTTCGTTAGTTTGTTTTTTCTGCTTCTTCTAGTTTTTTTTTTTTTTTTTGCTTTAATTATAGATGAATTGATTTTTTTTGGTATAATGCGGTGTTTGTTGTTTTTTGTATATTTTTTATTTTTAAATATATCGATTAATACTGTGCCGAGGTTCTTGGCATTTTTGTTTCACATTTGGTTTTGGTTCTCTTTGGTAGTGGTTGCGGTAGTGTTGTAATTGTTATTGAATGATTTATTTTTTGTGGGACATGTCACCTACTCCAATATACATACATATATACTTGATCCGTATAAAAAACCACATACATTAATTTTCTTTCACATTAAAGGTACCACAATTTAGATGGTTTTAATTTAAGTTTTAATAAAATACTTTAAAATAAATGCTTTTATTTTTTCTGTTTAGTTTTATAACTTTTAAAATTATGTTTTAATTTTAATTTAACAACAGATTAACAAAATTTCAATTTTACTTAATTTTTTTTAATATTAATAATGTTGAACTATAAATTTGACTAAAACATTTAACACTTTTTAGGTTTCAATAACAAATACACAATAATTGGTTTAATTTTCGTTTAACTTAATTTTTTATTTAAAATTTGCTAATTTATAAGAATTATTTCTAATTTACTAGATTTATGTAAGAAATTTCATTTTTTTCAATATATATTTTTATAATTATTTTTTAACATGCGGCTTTTGCAAAACACGTCCGTTTATTCGTATATACCAGCAGCGCCTAAATACTGCCTGATATCTAAAATACAGAATTTTTCTTTTCTTCCCTATAATATAATGTCAGTTAAAAGTCAGAGCCAGTAAAAGAAAACTTGTGATTTATATGTTAGCAGCGTAAAAATGTACCCCTTATACTGTAAAGTTGTCTCACAATCACTCCCTGTATTACGCTCTTAGTTCCTTTAGACAATTTTGGACATACCGCGCAGGTTTTCTTTCTCTCCAGCTGTTGCTCTCTGTTATGATATATAATGTTATAGAAGTCTAACGGTTTTCTTTTTCGCAACTGTCAGTCGGTCATATCATTCGGTGTGGCTTGTCAAATTGTTGTTTTCAGTATTTACAAAATATGAAATTATATTTTTGTTTGGTTTGTTTTTGTAAATTTCATTCTTAAATAATAAACAGGAGTGTAAAGGAATGCATTCTTCTGATAGTATAAGGAATATTTTGTGGGTTCAAGTTTTAGAACAGAAATCTGTATGAATTTTATTCTATTTTTCGTTTTTAAAATGTTCACTACAGCCGTTTTTAATTCAATTATATAGACTGTAGTCTAGACTATAACTAGACTATAGACTAGACTATAACTAGACTAGACTAGACTATAGACTAGACTATAGACTAGACTATAGATAGACTATAGACTTGACTATAGACTAGACTATAGACTAGACAATAGACGAGACTATAGACTAGACTATAGACTAGACTATAGACTAGACTATAGACTAGACTATAGACTAGACTATAGACTAGACTATAGACTAGACTATAGACTAGACTATAGACTAGACTATAGACTAGACTATAGACTTGACTATAGACTAGACTATAGACTAGACTATAGACTACACTATAGACTACACTATAGACTAGACTATAGACTAGACTATAGATTAGACTATAGACTAGACTATAGACTAGACTATAGACTAGACTATAGACTAGACTATAGACTACCTAGAGACTAGACTATAGACTAGACTATAGACCAGACTATAGACTAGACTATAGACTAGACTATAGACTAGACTATAGACTAGACTATAGACTAGACTATAGACTAGACTATAGACTAGACTATAGACTAGACTATAGACTAGACTATAGACTAGACTATAGACTAGACTATAGACTAGACTATAGACTAGACTACAGACTAGACTATAGACTAGATATAGACTAGACTATAGACTAGACTATAGACTAGACTATAGGACCTAGACTATAGACTAGACTATAGACTGACTATAGCCTAGACTATAGACTAGACTATAGACTAGACTATTAGACTAGACTACTATAGACTAGACTATAGACTAGACTATAGACTAGACTATAGACTAGACTATAGACTAGACTATAGACTAGACTATTAGACTAGACTATAGACTAGACTATAGACTAGACTATAGACTAGACTATAACTAGACTATAGACTAGACTATAGACTAGACTATAGACTAGACTATAGACTAGACTATAGACTTAGACTAGACTAGACTATAGACTAGACTATAGACTAGACTATAGAACTAGACTATAGACCTAGACTATAGACTAGACTATAGACTAGACTATAGACTAGACTATAGACTAGACTATAGACTAGACTATAGACTAGACTATAGACTAGACTATAGACTAGACTATAGACTAGACTATAGACTAGACTATAGACTATACTAGACTATAGACTAGACTATAGACTAGACTATAGACTAGACTATAGACTAGACTATAGACTAGACTATAGACTAGACTATAGACTAGACTATAGACTAGACTATAGACTAGACTATAGACTAGACTATAGACTAGACTATAGACTAGACTATAGACTAGACTATAGACTAGACTATAGACTAGACTATAGACTAGACTAGACTATAGACTACTATAGACTAGACTATAGACTAGACTATAGACTAGACTATAGACTAGACTATAGACTAGACTATAGACTAGACTATAGACTAGACTATAGACTAGACTATAGACTAGACTATAGACTAGACTATAGACTAGACTATAGACTAGACTATAGACTAGACTATAGACTAGACTATAGACTAGACTATAGACTAGACTATAGACTAGACTATAGACTAGACTATAGACTAGACTATAGACTAGACTATAGACTAGACTATAGACTAGACTATAGACTAGACTATAGACTAGACTATAGACTAGACTATAGACTAGACTATAGACTAGACTATAGACTAGACTATAGACTAGACTATAGACTAGACTATAGACTAGACTATAGACTAGACTATAGACTAGACTATAGACTAGACTATAGACTAGACTATAGACTAGACTATAGACTAGACTATAGACTAGACTATAGACTAGACTATAGACTAGACTATAGACTAGACTATAGACTAGACTATAGACTAGACTATAGACTAGACTATAGACTAGACTATAGACTAGACTATAGACTAGACTATAGACTAGACTATAGACTAGACTATAGACTAGACTATAGACTAGACTATAGACTAGACTATAGACTAGACTATAGACTAGACTATAGACTAGACTATAGACTAGACTATAGACTAGACTATAGACTAGACTATAGACTAGACTATAGACTAGACTATAGACTAGACTATAGACTAGACTATAGACTAGACTATAGACTAGACTATAGACTAGACTATAGACTAGACTATAGACTAGACTATAGACTAGACTATAGACTAGACTATAGACTAGACTATAGACTAGACTATAGACTAGACTATAGACTAGACTATAGACTAGACTATAGACTAGACTATAGACTAGACTATAGACTAGACTATAGACTAGACTATAGACTAGACTATAGACTAGACTATAGACTAGACTATAGACTAGACTATAGACTAGACTATAGACTAGACTATAGACTAGACTATAGACTAGACTATAGACTAGACTATAGACTAGACTATAGACTAGACTATAGACTAGACTATAGACTAGACTATAGACTAGACTATAGACTAGACTATAGACTAGACTATAGACTAGACTATAGACTAGACTATAGACTAGACTATAGACTAGACTATAGACTAGACTATAGACTAGACTATAGACTAGACTATAGACTAGACTATAGACTAGACTATAGACTAGACTATAGACTAGACTATAGACTAGACTATAGACTAGACTATAGACTAGATTTAGTTTAGTTTTCATTAAATTAAACATTGTGTACATCTATTTAAAAAATTCTTAAAAATACATTCCTCTCCTTTACAGCTCTGCTAATAATAACAATTTTTCCTTTTCAGTTTTAATTCATTTTTAAAGAGTCATATGTTTTTATTTGGTTTTACTTTAGCTATTTATTTTTTATAAAATTTTTTGCACATTTGTCTTTTTTTTTAAACACTAAGTAGGTATGTATCATTATAGAATCATAATTGGAACGCGTGCCTCTTTATTGTCTATATTCTTTTTGTCTTTGGAGTTTTGTTATTGTTATTTGGTCTACTACTTACACTTGACAATTATTGTTGCTATTGTCCCGTCCAGTCTTCTACAAATTGACTGATAAATGTCTAAAGTCTATCATTGAGTATTTTTCTTTTAGTTTTTTTTTGTTTTTGTTATTTCAGTAACTAATTATAATTGAATTACGCCAATATCAATTATTATGTTCATATAAAATGGAATTATTTTACGATAAAAAATATTTATAATGGGAAAAGAGACCGTAACAATTTTTTTGTGTTACCTTTTAGTAGGCTTAGCAACTAAATAGATTTTTAGGAATGCAGAAAAAAACAAAATGTAAATGAAATACGAGTAAGTAATTGGGGTATGTAATTTGTTGTTTTTGCTATAGTAATGAGTTGAAAATGAATCAGCTTAGTTTCCCATTTACTCATATGTATATTACGATAAATGTCACTTACCCACCTATCAAAATTTAATGAAATGATTTATTTGACTTTAATGATTTAGAAAAAATTCCGTATTAAAGAGTTTATTAAAAGGTGGTCAATATTTTGAAAAATTTATAGTTAAAGTTTGTTTTCGAAAGTGGTAAGTAGAGACCAAACTATTGACTAGTCTATGGACTACACTTGGTGAACAATATTTAAAAAAAAGTTTTTGTAAAAGTTTGCATTCGAAAGTATAAAGTAAAGCACAAACTATTCACTATTCTATGGGCTAGACTATTGACTAGTCTATGGACTAGAATATTTACTAGTCTATGGAATAGTAAAAGTACTAATATTTTAAAAAATAACTCTTTATGCCAAAAAGTACTAAACTACTAGTCTATTTTTCGATGCACTACCTAAAAACTAAATAGTCTATGGAGTAGTATTACTAAGGGTATTCCCGTCAATCTAACGTTTTTGCTAGTCTATAGTTTAGTCTATAGTCTAGTCTATAGTCTAGTCTATAGTCTAGTCTATAGTCTAGTCTATAGTCTAGTCTATAGTCTAGTCTATAGTCTAGTCTATAGTCTAGTCTATCGTCTAGTCTATAGTCTAGTCTATAGTCTAGTCTATAGTCTAGTCTATCGTCTAGTCTATAGTCTAGTCTATAGTCTAGTCTATAGTCTAGTCTATAGTCTAGTCTATAGTCTAGTCTATAGTCTAGTCTAGTAGTCTACAGTCTAGTCTATAGTCTAGTCTATAGTCTAGTCTATAGTCTAGTCTATAGTCTATAGTCTAGTCTATAGTCTAGTCTATAGTCTAGTCTATAGTCTAGTCTATAGTCTAGTCTATAGTCTAGTCTATAGTCTAGTCTATAGTCTAGTCTATAGTCTAGTCTACAGTCTAGTCTATAGTATAGTCTATAGTCTAGTCTATAGTCTAGTCTATAGTCTAGTCTATAGTCTGGTCTACTTTGGTCTAGTCTAGAAGTCCAGTCTATCGTATTAGCATTACTGCTAGTCTTTAACCTAGGACTACGATTTGCTATTTTTCTGGAGTCTATTGATTAACTAATGCACTAGTAGATTGAATATTCTACGGACTAGAGTATTGAGGAGCCTGGGGACTAATCTATTTTCAAATCTAAAAACTAGTTAATGATCTTTAGTCTATGAACGACTCTAAGCACTAATCTATGGATTGACTAGAATATAGACAGACAAGTCCATAGAGTAATCTATTGACTATGTCCATAGAGTAATCTATTGACTAATGTATGGATACCTTTTAAAAATCAAAACTTTTTTACTTTAGAGAGTTCGTCTGTCTTTTATTCATTCATTGTCTTATTTCTCCAGTTATATCCCGAGGACGTATATCTTTTGCATATCGTCTCATTTACATTTCTTGAAAGTATTTATTGTATTGATTAATTCACTGCAAAATTAACCACTTGTGTCCCTCATTTACCGCTAAAAATAATCAATGTCATGGGAAATATTTAGTTATAGACGAACATTAATCATTTGTTACGTGGAATAAAAATATCGGAAAAATTATAATTGTTTAGTCAATTAAATCGAAAAGAAGGTTCTGCCTACTAAAACAACAACATGATATTATATAATTTTCTATGAATAGTTACTACTTATTAAAATGTGTATTTTCAAGGTTAAAGGATTTAAATTGTTTTACAAATTTTGCTTATATTTAGACTATAAAATCAACATTCAATTATATTAAGTTCCAATCTACACGTTTTAAGTTTGATTGATGATTGAAATACGTTAGGAAATGAAATAGCAAAATTTTTACGCTGCGAAGTAATTTAATATAAAAAAAAGAAGTTGAATAAACTTGATAAGGCCACCATTTATTGAGTCATCGACATTTTTCAAAATTTAAATGCTTTTAAATAAATTCAAATTAAGTTTTAAAAATTTTCAAAATAGTATTCCTTAAACCAATAACAAAATCACGTAAGATAAGTAATATGCCTGCATAAATCTCGAAATCGTGTTTTATGATCATCCTCTCCACTATCACTTTCATCATAATCGGTTATGTCATCGAAATCTTCACATTCTTTTAACAATATTGATAGATTCTCTTCGGCCTCACTGTCGTTGTCTTCGTTTTCGTCTTCATCGTCATCATAATCATCTGATTGAAATATCTTAAAAACCTTATTGGGAACTTGCTTTGCCTTCAAAGGTTTCTCTTCAATTTTATGCCAGTAAAGACTTAAAGGAGGTTTAGTTTTTGATTTAGAATTAACGGGATATATTTCTGATAAAATGGGTTCGGTATAAGAATCTAAAGTTAAAATAATATTATTAATATTTAAGAATTGGGAGTTTTATACGTTTTTACCTTTTCTTTGTGGATTTTGAATATATTTTACATAACGACTGTCAGTTGCCTTCATATCAATGGAATGAATTTTGGAATTACCTTTAAAAGTATAGAAGAATTGATTAAATTATTTGATTCTTTATAATAAAAACTTATTTTTGATATAAATATGTGAGTGATTAGGGATATATTGAAGATTTTCCATACATATATTAAGCATTAAAGGGTTCTGACCCTGTCGTTCTGATCGAAAGGAGCGGAGGGGACAAAATTTTTTGATTTTGATACAGATTAAAAGTCCATAAGCAATGAATTTTCCACTAACATTTCTTATTGAACTAGATTTCAAGTAAAAGTATAGCTGGGCCTTTAGTACCCATTGAAGACATAGTATAAGATTTTAATATGGGATATAGATACTACTATGATCCATTATTTATATAATTTATTGGAGTGACTTATATTTTTAAGAATACTGATATTATTAATAGATTTAAGAAAAATTGTAGATCTAATTCTACAGAAATTGATAGAGAATTGAAATTAATAATTCACCCCGGGAATATTTAAGTGATTTATTGGCGATAAAACTAGCCCTCATTCATTGTTATTTCTGTCCGACACTTCAATCACAAGTGTCACATGGACATACTCATGGACTTCGTTCAAAATATGATAAAGTTGAATCGTGGGATCTTACAAATCCAAAATATGGAGTATGTTTTAATGGTATTTAAGGTTTCAAGCGAATCTAAAATCTTTTTTTTTAGCATGAGTTGCGTGTGATCCGAAATTTAACTTATTTTCCCGATATATATTGTTCCCAATGTGCGATTTCTCTAACTTACCCATATTCATATTTTCCTTTTCATTAATTTCCAAATTTTTATCACTCGGTGTCTGCTGCTCTACTTGTACTTTCTTAAAACTGCCATTACTGGAGATGGAAATGGTTATTGTGGAATTAGAAAAGGAACCATTGTTCGTGTGTTTAAGGGTATTTGGATCTTCATGTGGTATAGTAATATTCGCATTATTAGTGCTAAAAGTTTTCTTATTTGTAATAGTTTTTTTTAATAATCATTACATCCCCCGATTTATTATGTTGTTGTTGGGTACTTCCCTGACTTGTTTTATTAGCCGTGGAGGTCACTATAGTATGCAGTTGATTGGTTATGCGTGCTAAATCTTTGGAACTTGTTATATTTAATTGTAGGGGAGGTGAACTGGTCACTGCGGTAATGTCCTCATCCTGGTTGAGATTTAATTTCTGGGAGAAATCTTCTATTGCTTTTAGCAGTGGAGAAGAGTTCTTTTCCGATTTTAGGGTGGTATGTATTGGGGGTGTATTGGGTGTGGTATTTATAATGATTTTGTTGGATTCTTTCTTAGAATTTTCTGTTTTTAAAATGGCTTCTGTTGTTTGGTTTGGGCATTATTTAAATTACTCGGTTTACTGAGTTGCAAATTTGGGGCTTCTTTAAGAGTTTTAACGTTATTTTGGTTCTCAATTTTATTTAAATCTTCCAATATTTTTGTAACAATTTCAGGTTCTTTAGTTGATGTTTGAGTCGATTCCTGTATTTTCATTGTTGTGCTAAAAACATCGGGATCTTTAGTTGTCAATAAAGAAGGCTGTTGAGCTTGAACTGTTGTTGACAGTAATTCTGGTTCTGTGTGTGTAACTACAGATGATTCTTGAACT